GTCGTTGAAAACGCGCCTGCAAAAAAGGCTTTTCAAACCAAAGCTCTTTAATCTTTCTTTGTAACCTGGCATAGAAGTGCTACCGAAATTGGATGCACTCCTATGCACTAAAAGCATTGATGATTCACGTATGTATGAAACGATCAAAGTGGGATGGGAAGTGAAGTTGTCATACAAAGCGCACGAATCTTACATGATAACCATTTTCCATTGATTTGAGTGGGTTTCCAAAAATGCGAAGTTTATATTCTTCACAATCCAACCCTTTCTCGAGTGCCAAGACGCTTTGCTAGACTCGGGGAAGTTGTTTGTGGAATGACGGGTTTCGAAAGAGATAGTCGATGAGATGTTGTATGTAGTTTGGACAACCCTGAGTGGGTTAGAAACAGAGGCTTTTCTATCCTTTCGTCATCTGAATAGTTGATCAAGTATTTAGGTGTTAAGAAAACTAGCCGGCGAAAATGTGGAAGAATTCATGCGAGGTGAGAGGCGCATCCTCGGAGTGAGACATGAGCATTCCGAGGCAGCCTATCAAATGATGGAAAAGTATGACGTGGAGAACTTTCAAAAGGTTTGCGGCATTTACTTCGTTAAGCGAGTTATCTGTTGTGTAGTTCACTATAATATGACTTGTAGGATGATCCAACATTGCATTCGAAGCAAGGCGTCTTGTCTAAGGTGGGAAGTCTAGGTAACAATTACTGGATGTGGATTCATCAGCCCTACGAAGGAACTTTGAGGTATGCTCTGGTCAAGACTGTTTTATAGAAGGGCATTTTATCCTTATGAATTCCTCACTCTCTGAACGTATTCGTTGCTTCTTAAAATGGCAGTTGGGAGTTTGACATAAAAATGATTTGTTCCTCGAGTAAAATACTTGACTAATTGAATTAGTAACATTTTACAAAACGTATAGTTCCCACAATTTTGTTGAGATGACCGACATGATGTATTCGATTTACTTCTGGGGACAAAACTGAAGAATTTCAGTGATAGGTGCTCCAAGCCACCTTCAGAATTGTTCATAAGTTGCTTTTCAGACTGTTCGATTCGGATTTTCTTGAGTCGTTAACGCGAACAGCATGGTGGGTTGTTCCAGCTGTATGGCTACCGATGGTTGTGATATTCAGCTTGCTCGCTTTGGCTGACATGTATAGCCGCTGGGGTAAGGTGTTTTTTTATAAGTTGCATTTTTTGAATACATAAAAGATACATTCCTGTAGAGCATTTGTTGTGGTTTTTCTCAAGAAGCAGTGTTCTTGTTATTTTTTTTTGCATTTTATTTAATTTATTTTATTTCCGAGAAGGTATTTGGTGGAGTCTATCGTGAATGGGGCTGGGATCTATCACATTTTTCTCAACTATTGATTTGTATTGGAGTTTAGGGCTCCTACATTGAGATTCTTTGCTCTATCCTGTTGAAACTGTCCTAGCTTCAATCGCAACGTAGAATCTATACCCCAAGACCTTCATTTTTGCCCACTCCCAACTTTCTGTTTATATTTTTCAATCGAATTCTTACAATGTTTTTGCTTATACTCATCTTTCTTTTCCTAAACTTTTGATTCTGTTGTTACCAGTCCATCTTCTTTTGTGAGCAATTTTATTATTAATAAATTTTCCTCAATTCTGCCTTTGTAAGGTTAGATTTTTGTTGGAGCTCGAAAGATTAACGTTTTGAGAAGCGGCATTCGACATTCCTGCCTTGTTTCAAGCTGGGATTTGGTTGTGAAAACAGAGAATGAATCAGCATATTCACCATGTCCTATGCCTTTTCATTACTGTTCATAAAAAAAGCGGCGAAATAATTTGATCTCATTTTCAAAAAATCGGAAAAAAATTTCCTTCAATAGTTTAGCTAAGCCGATTTTGTGCCTTTGCTAAATAGCGAAAAATTCGGCATTACACTGATAGATTTCAGGACTATATCAGGGCGCACTCATTTGGGCCAACTGTTTTGTAGCTGGAGTTATTGTTTGGACACTTGTTGAATACGCTCTTCATAGATGGGTTTTCCATTGGAAGCCCAATCCAGAATCATCTTCACAAATTGTTCTTCATTTTCTACTGCATGGTAATTCCATGATAACACTGCTTTGGTTTCTAATGACGTTTTGTTTCGAATTAGTAGAATTTTGGATTCTTTCCATTTCAAATATTTCTGAGCGCTCTCTCGTTAAGGACTACATCATAAAACTCCGATGGACGGTGACCGCTTAGTATTTCCTCCAGTGCCTGCCCTCTTCGTTGTTGCATTCTTCTATGCGATCTACTCTAATATTCTTCCATGGTGAATCATTTTCCTTTCTATTTCTTATCTTGATTTCCCTTAACTGAATCATGTTATTAAGGCATATTTTCTGTGCCTTCGGCAGTGGAAAGCTATTTGGTTATATTGGCTACGATATGATACATTATTATCTTCATCATGGATCCCCTCGCCCGTTGACAAATATGCACTACAGGAAGGTTTATCATCACAACCACCACTTTAAGGACTTTGATGCAGGTAAAATTAGAATGAAGTTTCCTGTTGTGCCTCTTGAAGAAGGAATTTTTCTTCACTCAAAAAATTTCCGCTCGTGTTTTTGTTTCACCATTCATGTTGAACCTAACCTTCATCAGGCGTACAAGGACAGTGGTTTTTCAATAGGAAAAGGGATAAACTGTAAAATCTCTGGCGTCGATTTGTCCCGTGTTTGTAACGCGCCGCGCATTCGACTTCCATTCGGAATCGTGGGGGTGGTTTGAATACGTATGTGACCTATTCAAAGGCTGTGGTGGTCAACCGATGTACAAGTGTGAGGGGTTCATTCTCCCAGAGGAGTTAAGTACAAGTTAGTATACCATGGAGAACAGGAAGATTTGGTTAGCTCAAGCGAATATCGATGGGATTCGATCCGAGGACTATGCGTGAGTGATAGTGCGCCACTTGCCACTGCACTGCCTACACCCTTCTCAGTGGGGGACGGTACGAACGTGCGTCCGAGAATGCGCGTGGCAACTTGCGCGGCTAAGTTCGTGACGATTTGTATGACTCTGACGCCAATTTTAGGGGCACAAACTCTAAGTAGAGTAGTTTATCAGGGCCGCATGATCCTTCTAATCTATTCTACTTCGAATTTGGGCCCCAATGATAGGCGCTAAAGTCGTTCAAATAGTTACGAACTTCGCCGCGCAATTTGCCAGCGCATCCTCGGACGCACGTTCGTACACATACCCCTTCTCAGTAGCTATCTGTTCAGAAGAGCCAAGCCATGGGCCACACGAAATTAGTTACTCGGCCTTGTGAACACCAAAATGAAAAGTTATTAAACAAGTAGTCAGGAATACGTCGTATAAATTCGCTGAAAATGGCTAAATTTCATCACTGTAATGTTACCTGAACAAGTTTGATATGCAGTAAAGTAGGCATTTTGGGCCTTGACTAGAATACGGCGTGATATGTGGTGTAGTTCGTTCATGCACTTGGCGCTCTAATGGCATCAGCACGCACACACGCGTCGCCAACTTGCGAGTTCTTGGTTTCTACGGAGGTGAAAGTGCCGTCAGAGTGTTGTTGTCTCTTTCTTGTGATTTTTGATCGAAAATCGTATTGTCTTTTCAGGATTTGGAATTTCTACGTCACTCTGGGATTATGTTTTTAGTACTGTTGGAATGGGTCCACTTTAGGAACAAAGGCAGTTGCTCCGTTCTGTTTTGTTGGTATCTCCCATGTCTACTTCATCTGTTCATTTTGTTCATTCCGTAATAGTACTGAATTGGCACACATTCTCTTGTATACTCGTTGTGTACGTTTTCTTTATTTCCAAAGTTGGCTAAATGGTGTATTCAACCAATTGTGATATTTTGCCGAGGTTTAATCTTCCCCATATCATCTGGTAAGGTTGTGTGGTGAGAAGACGTTCTGCTTTTATGATTGTCATATAATAGTGAAGATTGTATTTCAGTTGTTACATGATATTATCTAGCTTATTTGTTATGTATGCTACAAAGTCTGGCTCATTAAATTCGTTTACCTAAAAGGACGAACAACCTATGTTGTTATATTTCGGAGATCTTTGTTATACTGTTTATTCAGGTGTTGTTCATGTAGTTGGAATAAAAATATTTTCATCTTTTCTTTTTGCATTGCTTTAGAGGCATAATGCGGTAGTTAGGCCATTCCTACTTTTCTTGAAGTTTTCATTGCCGTTTATTGCCGTACTGGTAAACGGTTTTTTTAAGACACGTCACCCATTTTGGAATGTTTCTGAGATATCATTTGGACGAGAACGGCAGACGTGTATATACTCTGAAGGTCTGGATAGTTCTGTTGAACTTTATTCATTTATTTAGGAAAGCAAACCTATTTTATCTTGTTTTTGATAAACACTCTAGATGAACAATGTCCAAGGAGGTCTTTGAAAACGTCCCATTACGAACTCTGAAACACTCTTCGGAATTTTTGGAGATTTCCCAATGAATGCTTCGGAATCTTAGTATCATGACTGGTGGTAGTGGTGCTCAGCCACAGTAACCCATACGAAGCGAGCAGCGAGTCACGTTCATGTGTTTTCTCATTGAATTATTATTTTCTCTTATTTTTCCCGGGATCAGTTAGCTCGGCTCTTTCTTTTATAAGAGCTGAGACCTTGCCCTAAATATCGGTGCTTAAAAACATATATGTTATACACAATACAAAGTATTCTCAGTCACAGCACGACAGCACTAGATAGGTCTTGGCTCAAACCCTTTGCTGAAGCTGCTAAGACACTAGTTACTGGCACCAGCGAAGAACGTTGCAGTTCAATTTTTGCTGTATTCTTGAACTCTTAAAAAATTCCTTTCCTAGACCTGTAAGTATGTACAATCTGGTCCCTTACGCTATGCTTATCCTTTTTTAAGGGAACAGTAGTCTTTTTGCTACATAATCTTGTTTTTTTCACTACTGTTCTCTTGTACACTGATATTTTAAACGCCATCCTTCAGTTATCTTGATCACTTAGAGTTCGCTGTTCGATCAGGGTCAAGGGTGACAATAGGAATGCGTGGCGGTGATTTTCGATCTATTATTCTACTGTTAGAGTCGCGCAGAGCTTGCCCATAAGAATATGGGGGACGTGCTATATACACTAACAGTCCTCAATCTCATTATGTACTACATGCAGGATTTGGCTACTTCTTTTGAGAAACATGTGTATTTCACTCTATTGAATGACTCAAGATCAAAACTATGTGACTGTCACAGTCTGATACGACAAGCAGTATTTTTTCTTTTATTTCATTTACTGCGTACAAGAGAGTAAGTGACATTTTCAAATGACCGCTTTATTTTGCGTAAGTGGGCTTATGATTAAAAACTGTTTGATGGCTCAATCGATGGGTCATGAGATGAATATAGCGGGACCACTTATTCTGTTCTAACTTATCCGTGATCGACCGAATAGAATTGCCTTTTTTAGAAGACTGCTCCTGACGGAACGGAAACTTTGTCTGCCCATCCGGCTCGTTTTTCTCCTGAAGACAAATACAGCAAATATCGTGTGATCATAAAAAGACGCTTTGGAATACTGCCTACTCAACAAGCAAAGATCGTTTACTGAAAATTTAGGAACTATTAGGACAGTACTTTGGTTGAATTTGTTATAGATAAGCATTTTGTTTTACTCTTTGGTCATATTGTTTTCAACCAGCATTGTTATTTACTTATTTTGTCAAAAACACTTTTTGCTATGCTTTATTGGGAATGGAGGCGTATTTTGAGGCAGAAGATTCGGAACTTATCTCCTCGCCCTAAGCTCACATATCAGCAGGTACGCCTTCATCTTTTTGCTTTCTTTTTGCTACTTCAGATTAAAAATTGATCTTTTTCAAGTATGCAAATCGACGTCTTATCATCGCTTTCGTTTTGTTTTTCGTGGGCTGGAAAGCGTTTGGTATTACTCTGAGTGATATGATGTTATGGACAGTTGACGAAGAGACTGGCAAGGGACGACTGCTGTCTCCTGCAGAAGCGCGGGAGCGACGGTATTCTTTATTTACTTGCTTACTTTTATTTCACGGTCAAAAGGTAATATAAAGTTTGCCTCAAAAAAAGTAGCTAAATGTTTATTTTGTTGCCTATTGGCCAATCTCAACAGGAAAGAGCTTCTAAATCAGATAGCTCAGCCCTATTGCCTCAGTAAAACTTGAGACTGCATTGTTGTTGAATGTTTTATGCTCTGAGTCGTTTGTTCTTCATTGGTATGGGTATATAAGGGTAAAAATACTTCAATGAACAAAGTCAGGATCCCTGGAAATATCAATTGCCATGAGCAGTTAAAGCTCAGGTATACTTGTGATGAGGTCCTGCACAAAGGGATGAGCTCATGAATTTTTGTTTGTTCAGTTACAACCCGCTTGATTTTGTCTTAGGGATGCAAGAGCTCAGAGTTGGCCTCGTGAAAATGGTTCAGATTCAGTTTAATCGAACTTTTGATGTGGTTGGTTGGATACAGCGGTAGGATTGAATTCAACAATTAGCACGGTAAATAATAAACAAAATCAATTTGTGCCAGTAGTGTACCGAAAAAGTGTCAGTACGAATGGAACTGATGTAATTCATACTGTAGACTTGCTAGTGGAGGAACAAGCGTAATATGGCAGCCTCTCCTCAGCTTGAGTTTCATGGGTGGGAAGTGTTTGACATGGCACTGCAATAATATGGCTGTGCTGTCACAGCAATTCTTCCTCCCACGTTTTTCCTGGGTGGGCAAGCAAGTGGAATCTCATTCTTAG